TTTTATTTATTTATTGCTTCTTATTCTTTGCCCTCTATCTGTACCTAGATGTACTATTAAACACAAACTGTATGAATCTTTGATCCTGTACTGAGATGTACTATCAAATACAAAGTGTATGAATCTCTGATCCTGTACTGAGATGTACTATCAAACACAAACTATATGAATCTCTGAACCTGTACTGAGATGTACTATAAAATATAAACTGTGTGAATATCTGAACCTGTACTGAGATGTACTATCAAACACAAAGTGTATGAATCTCTGATCCTGTACTGAGATGTACTATCAAACACAAACTATATGAATCTCTGAACCTGTACTGAGATGTACTATCAAACACAGTGTATGCATCTCTGAACCTGTACTGAGATGTACTATAAAACATAAATTGTATGAATCTATAAATCTGTACCTAGATGTACTACCAAACACAAACTGTGTGAATATCTGAACCTGTACTGAGATATACTATGAAACACAAACTTTATAAATTGTGAATATCGAAACCCAATTTTTAGCTGTATAAGCCCTCAGATTCACTGCTGAGCTACCACGGGGCTTGAATTATATGACTTAGAATTTAAAATCGGTAATGGTAAAGTAGGTTATACCCTTTGACATTCAATGTTGAAACATAAAGAAAAGATAAATAATATATAATTTCTAAACCTGATTCTAAATGAGAATAGGGATGAAAGATTACGAATTAATAAAAAGTTAAATCGCGAACAAAGTTTTGAAAAGAGTTTAATATTGAAATAACTTTTATTTTGAAAAACCATTTAGTATTCAAGATTGTTACTATTCGATTAATAATCTCAATAATTTAATTGGAGATATGAAAGTATATGTAAAGGCGAAAAGAGAAAGCGAACGTATGTGTATTAGGTGCTAAGTATATACTTTTCATATTACGTTTGTGTCTCCTGCATATAAAGTGGATGAATGAATTATATGTTAAGCTTTGATAGGCTTACGGAGAAAGACAAGAAGGTCATATCGTACGATCAATTTCATTCTACAAGCTTACCAAAGACTTTTATAAATTTGGATCTCGAGAGCTTGAAAAACAGGAATAACTTGTGGGGGTGGGATAGCATGATGGGTTTGATACATGGGATTGTGACTCAAATAACTGGAATGATCCTAAAGTGATAATTACCATAAATTCACTTGCCTAAAGTTTTAAAACAAATACCAAATTCTGTGGTAATTTTCTACGAAATATCCAGTGAAATGTTGAGATTAGGAAATTAGTATATTTTAGCTGGAAACCTTTTCCCTAACAAACAAAGCTTGAAACAGAAAAAAATCATTTTAACTGAATATTAGAAATAAACAGATATCAAATATGCAGACAGAGAAAACGCGTGTAAATAAGGAAAGATGTGTAATTTACTCACCGATTACTAATCGTTGCGACAAGTGTAATAATGATGGATATATATGGTATGCTCACAAATAACAACACGTCAGACGTATATCGAAGAAGAAACAGTGAAGATGAAAACATAAAGAGCAACAGTCAAGGTGGAAATAAAACTAGCAACAGACGAGACGTACATCGAAGGAAAACAGTCAAAATGAATACAGAAGCAACAGTAGATGAGACGTATATAGAAGCCGCAAAGTCAAGGTGAAAAATAGAACCAGCAATATATTAGGCGTACAAGAAAATGCAATTGAAGGGCCTGGAAGTTTAAACAGATAAGTATCTCTCATCAGCTGACGAGTTACGAAACAGCAATAGATCAAATGTATATCGAAGTAGTAATATATTATGCACATAAGATAAGTAAAAATTGTTAATTTTAAAAGGGGAATACAGATAATCAAAAAAGTACAGAAACAAGTTGAATCAAAATGCAAAGATTATATTTTCAAGCCTACAATTAGGGACTACTAAAAAAGTAAACAAACTAGGCTGGAAATAATGTAGACAATATTGCTAGACATTACTGCATTCATTACTATTGTCTAGGTTTCAGTAGAATATTCGTAGCCCTTTTTCTTCTGTAGAGGTTTGTAAAACCATAACCAGTAATAATAAGGCTGGAGACAGTGTTATAAATATACACATTGCTTACTCTAATAAAACGAAGCGTTTCTGACTGGTATAAAACGAAGCATTTCCGACTAGTATAACGGTGATTAAATGGATTCTACAATTCTGAGATGCTTGAATGGCTTCGAATAGCTTATGTTGGTAGAGAAGAAGAACTTAGAAAATGTTAGAGGGTGGAAATCTCGACTTTCAACAATCAACTTAAAAATAGCACTATAACCTTTGCAATGGTTTGTTTAGTAGCTGTGCATAGATTTTGGTGCAGTATAATTAGCCACTTTTGCTGTAGGCTTTGGTGCTCGAATGGCTTCACAGAGAATCTTGGCCAACATGTCGACAACGATAATAAGCATAGCATACACAATATTATCCACACACACAGATGAATATGGCCCTTGCAGTACTTTTCTGTTGCAAGACTACGTTTGACAATTCTTCTTGATGACTTTTTCTATGTTGAGGTTTTATTGAGGTAGTCCCAATAGATCAAAATATTCTCCTTTTTCATTTCAACCAAAGTAAATACGGACTCAGTGGCTATCAGGTTTATGACTCAGATCCAAGTTGACGATGTACAATTATTTTTCTGCATGATTAAGTAGTTGATAACTGGCAAACACACCTTCAAACTTCTTTTGTGTACACAAGTCTTGTGAAAGTATCGAATAATAGCTTCATAGATATCAGTTAAGATGTTTCTAGACTGATCTATTTCTAAAATTGACTGGAATTCTGCATAGACTAGAACATTTATAGTGTTAGGTAAGGTACTACCAAAACGTGTTTCAATTTGTAAATGTCCCTATTTCACCAAGATAAAACGAAAATCTCCAGCAGATATATTGGCAAAGATTAAAGGCAAAAAGTGTCTGTCCTCTCGAGCATTCGTCATATCTTATATCAATTCCTTGAACTTGAAATTGTTTTCCAATTCCACTAAGTAATGTTTCATAGTTTCGTGCATACAGTTCAGCATCAAAATCTGGTTGTAAAAGTCGAGCAGGAATCTGTTTTCCACCCACGTTGATTGTCTTGAAATTGATACTTTAATGTTTGAAATTGTACGGATTTTTCTTCCCACATCCACTAAATGCATTGTTGTCAACACATCTCATAATAAAATGTATAGGTACTTGCCGTAAAAATGCATTATCAATAGATGCCTGTAAGTATCACTGGGGAATTGAAAATAACTTACACACTATATATTTCAAAGGATATTTAGCTGTTCCTTTCTGAAATGCTTTAGCATGCAACAGAACAACTGACGGGCCGATATTGTCTTTTCGAGCTTAGATAGAAATGTGTTGCAGTACAATTTGGAATCCAGATTCATCGTTTGATATAATACAAAAATAATATTTACTTTGTACGAGTAGGAGTTTTAAATTTACACCATTAGGCAAGAACTCGTTCTGTAAAAAGATATCCGAATGTAAACGACTGATCAAGTCGACTATTTGACTACCACTTGTATTTATTGTGTCAGTCTTTGATTCCGTCTTTCTCACCATCGTTAAAATCGAGATCATCAAAATTATCCGCTGTGTCTTTTATCCACATGAACGATGTCAAATGACTTTTCTGAGCTTCACCATTATAACTCAGTAAAGTTTCTATGTAGGTCTTATACGCATAAAGGTTGTGAGATGAAAAAATGAGTTTGCCATTCAGGTGTTACATCCACTTGAGAAAACATAGACTGAAGCAACAGGTTGACAGAAGCAGATTTATCTTTATCCTTTATTATTTCAGTCCCATCAGGCTTAACAGTATTTGCCTTTGCACTGAGCTTTAGTAAGGCTCCCCTGATCTTGCTCCCCTACCCCACCCTTCGTTGAATAGAATAAAGTGACGTTAAGTTACGTTGAATAACTTATATTCGTTGTACTATGTATTGTTTATTTGTTTGTAATTAAGCACAAAGCTACACAATGGGCTATCTGTGCTCTGCCCACCACGGGTATCGAAACCCGGATTCTAGCGTTGTAAGTCCGCAGACATACCGCTGTGCCACTGGGGGCACTACACGTATAATAGCATAAAGTTATATGAATCAATTACAGCCCTTTTATTCATTTATTTTTCATCTTCTTTACATTTGTAGTTTTAAAAAATTTCTGTGTTTTTTGGTTTACAAAAGTGTCGATAACAGCATGTAAATCGAAGCATATCTGATTCAATGTGCATGAGAGCCAGATGACTAAGTTTATCATCACTCATTGTTGAGCACAAATAGGTTTTGATTCTCTTCAGTGCCGAAAATGAACGCTCACCTGACCATTAATGACAGATAAATTCTAAAGCAAATGTATGTATTTGGATACACCTCGTGCAGTCGATCTCTTGCCAGAGCTAGATACATCCCAGTGACAGTGACATCATCATCGGATTGTCCTTGAATGTACTTCTGAAAGTGGACGAGCTCTTCCACAAAGGCCAAGTTAAAGTCTCCGGATAAACTTGTATGAGGATATTCGCTGCCTTTTTAAGTGTGTCGACATCAATATTGCAAATACGAGAAAGAAAGACACAGATCTATATGCTTCAGTGCGTTTTTTAAGCTCTGCTGATAATTTGTCTAAGATCGGTAAGTACACATTAATCTTGAAACTCTGGCGAGGTGAAAAATCTGTTGCCTGTGCTTCACCGTCATATCTTGTTATCCTGGTACTAACTTTTCGCTTCCTTTGCGTTTCTTCTTTGTAAACTGATGTCCCAGCCTTTGAAATGCCTTCTTGCTCAAAGTCCTCAAATGAGTCATTGGTCTTGAGATCTGAGATATAGGGCTCCAAAGACTGCAAAAGTATCACGCCTTTGTTACGATCTATTTCTGGGTTTTGTAAATTCAAGCTGGTTTTGTGGAATCGCTCAAAAATTGTTGGCCAAACGCTGAGAAGTATTCCATACTCCAGAAATTCCATTTTGCTTACAAGACCTCTGGTTTCTTGTCACGTGTTTGACCTTTCATCTGGATTCTGAGCAATGCTGAATTTACTTTCTCGTATCCCTGATATAGGTCGGCTGTAGCACTGGCGTGAGCAGACCACCGAGTATCACCAAGTCTCTTCACAACTGCAAGATTCTTTCCAAGCTCACCCACAAGTATTTCCCACCAGTAGGTTGAAGCACTGAAGAAATTGTACAACTGTTCAACAAAATCAAAAAATACAATAGTTTTCGGAACACAATCCACTGCTGAATGACCGACAAGGTTCAACGAGTGAGCAAAGCAAGGAATATAGTCAGTATTTTACCTTGAAGACCATTACACTTGCCACTCATGTTGGAGGCGTTGTAGTATAATTGACCTCTGCAGTTCTCTAAGTCAAATTTTTTCTGTTTCTAAAAACATCAGAATACTCTCGAAAAGTTGTTCACCACTGTGACCTCTGCAATCGAGAATTTGACGAATCTTTCAATAGGACCACTCTCACGCACATATAAAAAAATACAAGACAGCTGATCCACGTGTGAAATGTCAGAGTTGAATCCACAGATATTGACAAATATTTGGCTTCTTTGAGTTCCGAAATAATTTTCTCTAACACCTTTTGTCCAAGAATTTCAATCAGCTTATGCATACTGTGGATTAAAGGTAGGACACATAGCCTTTACCCTTATTTCCATTCTTTTCAACATGAGTTGCCAAAAAAGGATCGAATTGCGCTAGCAATTCTAGTGTCCCTAGAAATTTGCCATTGTTTGGTGATCCGATGCACTCGTTGTGTCCCCTAAAGGCTAGTCCCCGCTCAGCAAGAAATTTAATTGTCGCAATAACCCTTTCCAGAAGTGCTTTCATGTAATGACATTCTGACTGGTATTGTCGAGTAATCAAGCTGTTTACACATCCAATAACTCGATACTTTGTAGTGAGGGTAATGGTCGCATCCCGATGAACTTGGCTGTTTTCATGACTTTCTAATCTTTGACTTGCATTTTTCCACTCAGAGAAGCCATACTTCGAAAAAGCATGGTCTTCACTTGAATTTGAAAACAGTTTGCAGTTAAAACAGAATGCCTTACCTGTGCTTGGAGAATAACACAGCCTACTTCTGATTTTCTCGCCATTTGTAATGGAGCGGTAAAACATGGACTTACTAAAGTAACATTTATGTTTACCGTCATATTTTATAGATTTCACAATACCGGCATTCATGATCCAACAGGCTTCGCTCCCTGTCGTTAACCAGTATACGCGCATGTCTTCTGTAATTTTGTAAGGCCACATGCCCAAATCACTCTCCATCGACTTCGACGACTTGTCTGCGATTTCTCCATCATCGGATCCGGAATGAACTTCACGTTGCGATTCTTCGCCTACTTTTTCATCGTCCACATCATCAAGTATTAGTTCTTTTGCTGGTTTAAAAAACTTGTCAAGCTTGGATGTATTCTTTTGTAGACTCTCTTGTTCTCTCTCCTTTTTTATGCTCCGCTTTTATGTTTGTATTCCCTAGTTAGCCATTTTGCAGAAGAAAAACTGCCAACAATACAAAATACTAGTATGAGCAGAGAGCTTTAGGTTCATGTTTTCATTGCTAACACCAAATCGTGACGTAATAGCGTCGTCATGGTAAGAACAATCTCGCGGTTGCAGTACGAAGTCCTAAAAGCATTACTTATAAATGTTTATATGTTTGTATCCTAATTTAGAAAACAAAATAGTATTTGTATTATTCCAGATATGAAAAAAACATATGCAAAAGTACTGAAATATCATTCAAAATATTCACGTGTACACTCAATTTAACCATTTTTTTTACACCCAATTAAACCTTTTTTTGCTCCGGGCCCCTAGGCTTAAGCCTACTCAGCCTAATGGTTAATCCGCCAGTGCCTTTGCATGAAGATATAATTGTGCCGGATCTAAATATTCATTTCCTGATCCCGATATGGAAAATTCGATGGGTCCTCTCTCAGTCCCTGAAGACAGAGGATAATATTCAGTCCACTGACTCTCCTCAGTCACGGTTTGCGTGGGAGGGAGAGAAAATAAATCTAGCTCAGACTTTGTACACTGACAGGATTTTTCAATTTGTAAGAGAGTCATGATTACTTGTCGAAAAAGTATGGAATCAATGTTCTTCGTCTCTTAGTTTTAGCTATTCTGAACATGGGACCTTTCTGTTTCTTCTTTTTATTACGTAGAGCATCTCGAGCCAGATTCTGAGCACGAACAAAATGTTTTCCTTGTATGGCATTTGATGTTAAATTTATGCCTGAATAAACAGTTTATTTTCCCATTGCTAATGCCCCTTTTCTTCAGAAATAGTCTAGCCGATCGAAAAAGGTTACTCAAAACGTCTCCTACTTTGTGCCCCCTTTGCCACTGACTACTAACATAATAAGGTAAACCGTTTTCCACTTGGTAATCGTGATATGCATCACAGACGGCTGGTTCTTGATAGTAAGAAACTCTCATAGTTGTGAAGATGGAGCGTTAAGATCACTCTTCCTTGTTTAAATGAGATAGTCTGACCAATATTGTCCCTTATATCGAATTCCATAGTCTGAAAACTGTGTTTAGAAACAGGTCTGTACTGGGGATTCAGTGATCATGTCTCTATCCTGACCTTTAACTTGAACGATTCGTATTAGCAGAACATAGCATCACCAATAATATTAGGTCCCACAATACCTCAGTAAACACAGAGCTATTAAAATCTACCATGCATATTAACAGTATATGGATCTATAGTGGGCTCTGTTATCGTGCGATTATTATCAAATCCAAGTATAACTGATAGGACAGGATCGAGTACTATAGAAGCTCCATCATTAACGTTCATGTTTACTTTTCGAGTGAACAAATCATAAGTAAATATACGTTCACTGGTGAGTTTAGGAAGCGTATCTTCTAGTTGGTTTAACATTCTAATTAAATCTTCAGATTTTTGTAATGATCTGGTGTAATATAATTTATTATGGTAGTAGAGTGAGAGCCTGAAAAGTATGGTAACCATCTTGTACCATCATGTATGTTATTCTAGCTATGTGGATACTGTAATTCGACCAAGGCAACTTCCCACGAACCTTCAAGGTTGATAGATCTCAGATTATGAGTGATATAGTTTATCAGAGTATTATTAGCAAAATAATTCATAGAACTGTTACTAGGTAACGACACATACAACTGATCCATACTGAATAACGAGGAATTGAGTTATACATATCATTTTATGACGCCTGGCGATTTAGGTCTGATTGAGGGATACAGCTATGAAATTTATCAGGATATCCTTTCTATTCTACAAAATACTATTTGTTTTTACCCCTTCCTCATTCACATAATATTTCTTCTACAGCGTAGACGTCATCGGAAGACTTTATAACTCTTTGTAGTTCAGATTCGTAAAATGTTCCATTTAATTTTTCTCCGAGATGGTCTTGCACTTTATACATTGGTGGATTTCTCACTGTTCTTTCGTAAATATTTCGTCTGCCCATCCAGGCATATAAACTTTCTTGATTGATGATTCATTTTACTAATACATACTTGATCTCCTACATTGAACTGATATTTTACTTTAGTGGGCGTTTTGTAAAGTGTTTTCCATACAACAGACTGATTAGAGTGATTAACATCTATTTGTCTCATTTTAATACTGCGATGATACTATTGATTATAAGCATTGACCAGATGTTTCAATACAGTGACATATTTATAAGTTTCACGATGAGTAAAGTAGCGCCACATTTTAGTTTTAAGAGTGCGATTAAATCTTTCTACAACAGATGTTTCATTATGTGTAGTAAAGAAATGAATGTCTTGTTCCTTGAGATATCGTTGAAAGAGAAGGTTAGTAAACTCTGTCCCAGCATCAGTTCTTATCCTTGAGTGGAACGACCCATGCATATTTAGTAAACATGTCGATAGATGTGAGTAAATACCTAAACTGATTGTTATGTTGACTCAGGTTAGAGAGATCCACCAAATCAGCCTGTCATTGTTCATCGATCCCTGAAACGATAACTGGTTTATGTAAAGTGAATATGTCCTGTCGACTTAACCAGTCTTTAACCTGATTTAAAGTTACGGATTTACTTAACGTTGTACTCCACCAAAACTAGCAGGATGTGTATGGTTATAATAGATAAATTGTAGAGTTTTATTAGACATTATTTTCTACGCCGTCTACTTTTATTTAATTTGTTATCATCAACTTTATCTCTAACTGTAGTAATAATTTGACTTTTACAACAGACGATATTAATTCTTAGACGACTCAAGATATTACTAAGCTTAAAAGGCTGGCAACAGTCCATGACGATAATCAAGATACAAATTAATGAATAATACTATAAGGCCAGGCTTTCTTAAGTGCCCAATTTGATGTCGCTAGTGTTCTGGGGCAGATTTATCTGAGTACTTACTTAAACAAATATATAATAATTTCTAAAATGATAGACGATGGACAGAGCTTTCCAAATATATATAATATGTTGAGTTTGTGGTAAAGTTTTTCCAGCAAACGAAGGAAATAAACAATGGTGGGGTGTTAAAAGTAGCATGTCGCTAGCAGAAAAATTGAATTTCAAAGCAATAACACAAACACAAAAATTATAAGTTTGATTCAAGCCTTTATTGTGATTAATTAGTGAACATTTATGTTTTGAAAATTTATTAGTTGATTGTCCCATTACTTTTTCACATATAAAACTATCCCAAATAATATGTCGCCGTAATAATGTGTTCTCCTTTACGGTTGTTTATTTTCAAGACAGTAATTGCAAATTTTTGAGTAAATAAAAGGATTAGAGTCAAAAATCAATACAGGAAATATACATTTTGATTTGATCATATCCCAAACACAGGATATCAAGAGATATTTTGGGTGTGTCCATTTGGAGCGCCCCCAGTGGCACAGCGGTAAGTCTGCGGACTTACAACGATAGAAACTGGGTTTCGATAACCGTGGTGGGCAGAGCACAGATAGCCCATTGTGTAGCTTTGTGCTTATTTCCAACCAACCAAACAAAATCATTTGGAGCTTGTTATAAAATTAGTTTTTTTAAGCACGTGATCTCCTTTACGCATATATCTAGTGTAGATACTCAAATTATGTCAGTTTGTTAATACGTTATACAGAACAACCAAGTCATTTGTTGTTATCAATAACTGAAAGGGTAAGAATAAATTGCATTCTTCAATAAAAATCACTGAACATGAAATTGCGTGAACTCCTTATTTGAGTTTTGCTTCAGAGGGGAATATAAAGAGTGAATAATGCTTTTCCCGCTTAGTCTCCACCATGTGCAGATGATTAGGATAGGGTAGATTTGAAATGTATTAGTCACAAATCTACTCATTTTCCTGCAAGAAAAGTCCCTGAAAGTGGGATCACACAACAGGTGTGTATCTTTTTAACTCTATAACTAACATTCGAATGGTGTGACTGGTGTTAGTTTTAGGTTTAAATGACTGATAAATTACAAAGCTAAATATGTGATCGATAATTAGGAATCTATTTATAAAAACAGATCATTCGGGTCATGGTGAGATGCATGTAAAGGAGATCACAGAATGGGTAAAAGGAGATCACCATTTTAATTCAACTCCTTAATATGCTTTGCACTACTTAATATAATGCCACATTATAATAAAAGCTTACGTTTATGATCTGTGGAAGTAGTCCAATACAAAATAACTATCCTTATTAGCCTGCTATAGCTGGATTTACTGTAGAAATGTAAAGGAGATCACATTAATTTCTACACCTGTCTTTGCTAATATACAGAGGTGGTATGCATTTCGGTGATGGGTTTCATATTTGTATTTTTAGAATGGATGGTAAACAAAGTCGGCAACTGAAATATTATCACAGAAAAAGACAGAAGAAGGGAATACCTTCTTACAATTGGTTTACTTTTTGCCTTTTTTATTCTAGGTACAATATAATCTGGTAAAGGAGAACACATGTGAAAAATATGACAGAATGTAGCCCGAGTGCTAGATTTTTGGCAAAAGGTTTTTCAAGTTATATTTTCAAGAACGGTATAAATCATACTTATAGGAAAGGACTGTATTTCATCATTTTCCAGTTGAAAAATGGACACTTAAGAAAGCCTCGCCCTTTATTAAAAATGATCCCATTTAGATAAAGTACGTTTAGGTCTTTTAACTTCTTGGGGAATATTCATATCTGATAATCGTTCTGCAATAGGATTAAAATTCTTTTGTTTTCATAGCACGTCATTGATCAGGTCGGTTATGTTACTGTTTGGGACGGATCTTCCACTAGTCGCTAATTCTCCACGATCATTCCATGTTAGATCTTCACTGGAATGTATCAAGTTTAATAGAATTCCAGCTTTATTTTTATATTTCTGCGGAACACTGTCAACAATCTCTAAATTTTCATGAGTCAGCGATTCCATTTAATTTTGAAGGGTTCCATTGCTTGTGAATGAAAAGTCTGATGACGTTGTTGCAGTTGGTTTATGATCTATGGGTAATGTATCATTTTGTAGGACTGAATTCATATCATTATCTATAGAGTTTAATACTTTATGTACCGGCCTTTCATAAACTTTGGATTGATAAAGAAAATATACCAGTTATCCAGAAACGAGAACCATTCGTTTTGCCACCTTTTTAGATTCCACCAGCTTTATCAATAGCCCATCCTGTCCAACCACCAAATAATGAAAATATTAGTGCTACCAGGAATGGTAAAAATCTCCATTTCTGTATCAGTAAGTTTTTTCTGTTTAACTGATGTTTTATTGACAGTCAACTCTCTCAATAATGATCTGTATAACTTTCTGCTTTTGTATGGTCTTCATGGGGACATTACCCTTTAAAACATTTAAAGCACATTCACAAATACTCAAGATAAATTCATTTTTAGCTCCAGCAATTATTCCTTTAATCTGTTTACGTGTAACTTTAGGTAATGTACGGAACAATTCTCGATGTTGTTTAATTCTAAGTGTCATGATGAATAAATAAAAAGAGACTGTGAGTACAACATATAAAAATTGTTTATTTATACATCCATTTAGATACAACATCTTTCTTCACACTACAGTGATAATAACTGTTAATATAAAACAGACAGGACAAGGTCGATTTTGGAAGTTTATTAACCTTGAGGCGTCAAAGCAATTGTAACAAGGAATTTTCAACAGAGTTCTCAATATAAACAGTGGTAAAGTTCTCTCTCAACAACCTAGCAGGAAGGGATTGTCGACGTTAACAAAGTTCCATTGAGATGAATGTGCGCGTCACTAATTTATACTGACGACGATCAGAACCTTAAAGATATTTACTCGAAAACGGTTGTTTAAACAAAAACACGCATGTATATAATATCCAGTGACTAAACATTTGAATGCAAGTTCTTTAATTACATATGGCCCATCCTTCAGATAAAAATACTTCTAGTTCTATAACTGCTGCAGTCATGATAATAAATGATTTGACACATGCTGGAAACACTTGTCTCACTAAAACATTCAACTGAGATTTGTTTCTGACATTCTTGAACAAAATAATATTTTGAGAATTTAAACTAATATTACGTATTTCTGTACCCTGTTTGTTTGTTTTGAAGTTAAGCACAAAGCTACACAATGGGCTATCTGTGCTCTGCCCACAACGGGTATCGAAACCCGGTTTCTAGCGTTGTAAGTCCGCAGACGTTCCACTGTGCCACTGGGGGGCTTCTGTACCCTGATAAAATAGATTCTGTACAATATAAAATATGTGTAAAAACGTTGAGATACTCGTTTATTTTTTCCATTTTCACTCATAAGATTACCAATGATAAAAATATTTGGTTTATCAGACTGTAAATAATCATGAAAATTTTCAGGTAAGCCTTCGATAAATTGAATGTTGGGAATATTTTGCATTAATTTTGTATACAAATTGGAATTTACCACTTCCTGTCAGACCTGACACTAAACACGTAAAAGGTATAGTAGATGGTTATCTATCTCAAAGTCTAATGAGAAATAAATGAAACAGGACTTACCTCATATAGATCATACTTGAATACACTTGTGATCTGCCCTCAAGGCCCTGTACCATGGCGAGAAGTTAGTTACATTATATGGAAAAATCATTATCTATATGGAAGGGTGTTAAAGTCTGGAAGGATGAATTGTTTGGTGTAGACTTTGCCCTCAAGGCCCTGTACCATGGCGAGAAGTTAGTTACATTATATGGAAAAATCATTATCTATATGGAAGGGTGTTAAAGTCTGGAAGGATGAATTGTTTGGTGTAGACTTTGCCCTCAAGGCCCTGTACCATGGCGAGAAGTTAGTTCCATTATATGGAAAAAATCATTATCTATATGGAAGGGTGTTAAAGTCTGGAAGGATGAATTGTTTGGTGTAGACTTTGCCCTCAAGGACCT